GGATGATGAGATTCACTGTTTTGGTATGATGGATGAGACCATTCTGTTGGTACGATGGATGACGAGATATCATTGGCATGATGGACATACAGGATGACCTATTGCTGGTACGATGACACAGGATATTCGACTCATGGTGATGATGGACGATACAGATACCATTGCCAGCTGGTGATGATGATTACAGATATCCATCGGTTGGTATGATGGATGATGACCATTTTCAGCGGTATGATGGATGATACAGATACCACCAGCTGGTATGGTTGGATACATGGTGGATATTCATTACGGTGTATGATGGATTGATGCAGATACCCATTTTATGGTGATGATGACATATGGATACCCATCTTGTTGGCTGGATTATATAGAGCGACCATCGGTATTGATGGATTGATGAGATACCATTTTGTTGGTATGATGATGATATGATACCACCTGTTTGGTAATGATGATGATGGCAGATGACCACTCGTTGCTATTTGAGGGACATATAGATACCGATTGAGCGGTGAAGATGGACATATGATACCATCATGGGTTATTTTTTATTACGATATCTAATTGTCAGGAAAGCAACGGTATACATGTAGATTCGATTCCACCAAACTTCCCACATCCCCAAAGTCTTCCAATGATTGGAATGAACACCATCACTGGATAGTGAGCGTCATGAGTCAGCCGAGATGAAATGATAGTTCCATTGAATCGGTAATTCACCACAAAACAAATGATATATGACGAAACCACCATGGATCTGCAATGAAAACGACCAAATTTGGAAAATACCGGTTTTGTCAAAATAAAAGTTGATTAAGTGTCACCATTTGAGCCAGAGTTCAAGTTGACATGGCGGCTGAGTGGCAACTTAAAGAAATAGCCGAAGAGGATGCACATGCATATGACGCAGGAGATACGATTACTGGTTGATTGACAAAGTGGAGAGAAAATGAAAGAGATCTATAATTTTACAGTTCAGTGATTTCTTCCATGATGAAAATGACGGGGGTGACCTTAAGTATGCGTACTGATTAAGTACATATCGGCGTGACTGCCTCTGTGCAGCTGGAGGTATTACATGTCAACTTCGCCTGCTCAAAAATGTGTGTTGAGACCCGCTACGTTAAAGACGCGTGTATCTTCAGCTTTTCAAGGCTAACCCTTTAGGGTGCCAACGTCGCCTTTAGTAACAAACTGGGAAACGTGACAAATAAAATGATGACGGTTTCTTAAACAACTTTTTATTTTTACTCTTGCTTTTTAAAGCAATATCACAGCGGAACACCAGAAATAGGCTTCCACATCTTGGGCATGATAAGCAAATGGATTTAATCCACTGGGCTTACCCTACCCCACCCTTTAGTATTTCAACATTACATAAAATTATATGCAAGAGACGACATCATCATGGAGGATTCACTGAATGAGTTGCCAGGAGTCGTGATTCTTCAGGAGCTGTTGACTCGATTACGCTTTCATTTCAGTGTCAGAAGAGGGAAAAGGAGAATTTTTCCACTTCCAGTCAAAATAAGAAAGGATTTCTGGAACAAGGCCCCGAAGTTCCATGAGAGTGGGAAGAAGCTCACCATCATCATCGACGCTGTGAATGAGGTATCCATGGAAATAATTACACTGTTAGCCCTAGCCCAGTATGTTGTGTGTTTTGCTCTACACACTCAATGCACTGGTTTGAATCCCTGTCCAATATGAATAGATACATGTGGATTAAAATGGGGTCAGGTTTTCAAACATACTAAAATTAGTACATTTGAAAGGTTTTAATGTGCCTGGGTAAATTGAAAGTACTCATATTACAACACTGTAACTAAATCATTTGGTGATATATTGTCCAACAAAATTACACACATGGATTAATGAATTGAAATTCGACAAATCACAAGATGCCACTATTCCTAGTGGCAGAAGCTGTATCTAAGCTGAAATCTATTTTACTGATTCATCTTTATCTTTATGTTGTCATTGAAATTTATCTCAAAGTGTTGAAAAAAATGCACTGAAAGAAGCTGAAATCCATAAAAAATATCTTGACATCGCATTCGAAAGTTGTTTAACCGGGTTGAATTGTCGAACCTTTGATTGGAGTGGTTCCCTATAAATATGGTCATGACATATACAATTTATTGTTTTATATCCTATTAACACCAGCTGAATCAGGCGGCCGACCTTGGTCAATTAAGTTGCCGCCACCGTCACGGGCATCGCAGCCGCAACATTGCCACCGGTGATGGTGCAGCATGTCCCTTGACACGGCAAACTGACCTCTGGCCAGCACGCTGCATCGGAGCATCGCCTGCACCTACTACTATTCGACAGTGGGAGCCAGCAGGAGAGTACCTGTATCGCGGTATGGCTGTATCATCGCTTGGGGAGATACAAACACCACGACGTTACGTGCGCTGGCGTCCGCACCACGTATCGTATACTTGAGATAGAATACAACACCACCGCGTCATCGCAGATGCGCACACCACCATACCGGAGTATATAAATGCACCACTACCGTACCGGTAGCGATAAACAAAGGCATACTACCATCAAAACGGCGCGCTTCCGCGATGCTACCGCAGCACTTCAACTACCACCGTACTCTCAAAGTGATATAAAACGCGCGCGCACAATTCACCGTACTGCTACTTACCGCCAGCACGCACCACCGTTTCGAGCATCGCAATCACCTACCCGCCACCGTATATATACCGTACTTGGATCAGAAGAATGATGCTCACATGTTAAATGAATTCCCCTTACGCAATAAATATTATATTATTCCTTCTCTTCCTACCCATCCCTCCAAACCTGTCCCATCCTTGTTGCCCCACCCATCCCAGTCCAGTGCCATCTCACCCCAATTCAACTCATCCCCATTCATGTCCTAACTGATGAGATTCCTGCTCGCAGCACCTGCACCAGGACCAGCTGACCGCCTTGATCCAGGACACTAAGGTGGACAGCCCCCTGTGGATGACCCTCGTCTGTGAGGAGCTGCGTGTGTTTGGGGACTTCAAGATGGTCACACAAAAGATCCAAAGTTTGCCCGACACACTCAACGGACTGTTCGGCGTCATCTTCACACGGCTCCTGGCTGAGGACAACACTGGCTGCATTAAGAAGGTAGCTGGCATGATGCATCTAGAGAAGGATAAAAGCAGAACAGGCATCTGACCATTGATCCATGTACATGCAAACTAGGGTCAAGGCCACTAGTCGATATATCATGTTTGTTAGCTAAAAGCGACTCAAATATAAGTTTAAACAAGGGCAAGAAACAATTTATTTATTTTTTGTTCCCAGAGCTGTCTGAGTGAGTATGATTTTACGTCGCTTTTAGCAAGATTCCAGCAATATCATGGTGGGGGACACCAGAAATGGGCTTCACACATTGTACCCATGTGGGGAATCAAACCCAGGTCTAAAGCAACGAGCAGACGCTTTAACCACTAAGCTACCCCACCCCCAGAGCTGTCTGAAGATGTTGCCATTTGTGCAGCATTCTTTCACGTAACATAAGTAACATTAGCATACTGTCTTATGGTTTTAGATAAATTGCAAGTCATTTCATGGCATTTGATTGACTAGTAATAAGTAATAGTTCATCCCATTAATCATGACTCACTGATTAAGACATTCTTTATTTTTCACCATCTACCTCTTTGCATATAGGCCAAGAAAAATCTTAGAACAAAAATAGAACTGGTCTGCTTTGACCCTTTTCCTCTCACACTAACCACAGGTTTGAATTTGGTCCCATGTGTAATTTGGTTTATTTCTGTGTGGATTCACCCTGCTTTTGTCATCTGTGGATCAGGCTGTGTGCCTGATTGGCACTCTCTCTGTCGGGGATCACGACCGATGACATCCCTCAAACTGTTGGGGATGTGGAGAAAAGGAGGAGGTGCCCCCTTTCACTGGGTGCAGGCCCGAGAGTTCTCAAACCTTACCTCCGTGGGCCGGATTCCCACGGGAGTACATCACGCTCCTCACATGAGAAAATATGGAAGGTCAGTATATAAGGACAAATTAAGTCTGATCATTTGATTTTTCTTGAGGCCAGACCAATTTTATTTCTTGCTTTTAATGGATCCGGCCGGGTCATATTTTTTCAAGAATAAGAAAAAATAAAAATTAATTTTCCCCCTTAAAAAATAAAATCCTCATGTTTATTGGCCAAAAATGTAAACTTACCAAAAAAATATTTTTTGATTGTTTTTTGCCAAATATAGACTTCATAAATTGCCAAAAATAAAATACTTTTAGTATTTAAAGGAATATTACTTTGACTTTTCTTTTTGATTTTGTTCCCGAGTGCCATTTAGGTTTTCTGAGGACAAAAATCTGTAAAACAAGAATTAAAATTGGTCTGGCAGGACCATAATAAAAAAATCTTTCTTTTATATACTCAAAAGAAATTAAAGTACACCTGATTCTTTCATATAACCGTTAATCTATGATGATCTGCTGCTTTCATAAGGCTAGGGATGCTCTTGTTTGGTTTACTGATTTTGATAGCACTAAAAGTTAACATGATAGAAATAAATTAAGATGATTTTAAGATCCATTTAATAGTCCAGTCATCCTGGAAAGATTCTGACCTAACCCACCACAAATTGCAACAGAAATGATTTCAACTGTTTTAAGACCCTGAACCATTCCTTTATAACATATAAAAAATCTAGGAATATCTCAGTGGTGGAACAAGGTCAAATTCGACCCTCAAGGTAAACAGAGCTTTTATTTGATATATAACATGACACAATTGAGTAGATTACAAAAAAGTTTGCATTTCCTTCTAAGATTTCGAAAGCGAAGATGACCCCTATGACGTTGAGGGTCGAATTAGACCTTGTTCCACTACTGAGATTTTCCTAGACTTTTTATATGTTATAAAGAAATGGTTCAGGGTCTTAAAACAGTTGAAATCATATCTGTTGCAATTTGTGGTGGGTATTATCATAAATTGACTGGACTATAATACAAAAATATGTGATCACAACAAGATAAATTGTTAAAACAAATGTTTACACCCCAGGGAAAATATGAAATGTTTCCTTCACTAAAAAAAGGATAGGAAGTGAAAAGGTCTGGGCTAATTTCGGGTTTTATGCGTTATTTGTTCTGAAGGCAGTTGAAGATCACGTGGTCACATCCTATGTTGAACGGAAGAAGTGGCAGCAACACCTCGCAGACTTCTACCAGTACTGGAGTGACAACTCTCAACACCGATCCTTGCTGCTGCCAGACCTACTCCGGAACATTGGTCTGAAAGACAGGTAGGCATGGAATACCACTGAATACCACGCTGTATACCACCCTCTGTGCACCTCTCTAACACAGTTGTCTCAGTTCCAGAAGTAGTGTATTCCTCACAGGATGGAGACCAAAAGTTAATGCAAACATAAGATGCTACCAGCATGAGGATCAGGGCCTATTTCCACAAAGTGATTTTTGCCATTCCTGCCATTTGTCAGTATTAAAGTAAGGAAGTTATAATCACTTTGTTCTGAGATGTTCTTGTGGTATGAGGCCCAGGCTGGCTATTCTCAAAATGTTTGTAGCCCTCACGAACTCTATCGGGCCCATTCTTAACACACATTGGCTACAATCAAAGTTAAGAATTCTTAGAGCTACGAATTTTTCGAGAATAAGGGCCCAGGTGATTACAGTGTGTTGATGATAGCGTGACATTGTACCTAGATGAAGCCGCTGATGTTTCATGTGTCTTGATAATGTTGTTCCTGTCGTGATGCTTTATTGGTCACTGTGGACTGGAACAATATTCACACAGGTCACTTAATGCCTCCAAAAATACAAGCTGGCATATTTTGTCATATGATATGTTGAATCGTCGATGTAAGATACCAGTTGTCACCCATAGATCTACAATACAAAAGCAAAGAAAAAGCTAATATTATTTTCAGCTGTCTTTTTCAGTGTCCAGTTTAATATCACTGGTTCCTTCAGTGATAAAATGTCTAAGATACACTATGAACAACACAGCTGCTTGTTATTTTCAGGATGGCCAAGTTTATGACAACTGATAAAGACTCTTGGGCTGTGAGCCCCTTCCAGAGGAGCAGCTATCTCCAGGTATGCTACAGTTGTACACTCGTACTGTTGAATTTCCACTGATGAAGATCTAACTTCGAATTGATAGTCAGTAATCAATGCTTGTAGTAACAAGTGACTTTCAGATCACATAAAAACGACAGCTTTGCATGCACAGAGGACAACCCATGAAGATCCGGTTTAGAATTGATCTTCAGTAACCCATGCTTGTCGTAAGAGGTGACTAATGGGATCGGGTGTTCAGGCTCACTGACCTGGTTGGCACATGTCATCGTATCCCAATTGCGTAGATTGATGCTCATGCTGTTGATCACTGGATTGTCTGGTCCGCACTCGATTGTTTACGACTGGTGTCATATAGCTGGAATATTGCTGAGTGTGACGTCAGAGAACAAACAAACAAAGAGGTGATGGATTCTGCGATGGTCATAAGAGACGTCATGGACAGGGTGTTTAGGCTTGGTAATTGATAGTTTGAGCATAGTCTGCTTTTCCCAACACCATACATTATTAATCATAATACATACATACAGTGGTGTCTGTAAATGATGTTATTCTGATGTTACAGTGGTGTCGGTGCACACGTCTGACTGGTGGAACCTGGTCCAGCAAGCCTGTCATGATCTGCACCTTCTGTAAACACAAGCAACAGTGCTTCAACCCCGCCAACAGGTGGCAGGCTCAGGCCTCGTGTGTGATCTGCGGAACCCACGTCTTCAGCCACATGACGGCCACCGCTAGTCTGTGTACATTCCACGGTGTAGGTACTCCTACCAGTGCCAAGTGTGTCGTCTGCAACAGGCACATGAATCTCAATGTTAAAATTTCTGGGGACGTGCAGGGACGTCTGTGTGGTCAGTGTGGATTTGGTAACTATGGGAAGATGTGTTGCCATGTTGGTCAGTAGGAAATAAGGGAGTACTGCACTTTACCGGGCGCACTTTTTCAGATTAATTAGCGCTGCTGGGGCTCGAACGCGCTTCGCCGGATTACTGACTTCGTTAATTAGTGACGTAATTGGCGGACGTTTTATACCTACCGGGACCTTGAGCACCATCACAGTTAATGAGTGCTTTCGCTTAACAGGTCATTTGCACAGAAGTGAGTCGAAGCGCTGAGAAATGAAAACAAACCACTGCAAATGCGCAATGGTTTGTTTACATTTCTCACGCCTCACTTCCACTGTGCTAACGCCCTTCCATTCAATTTTTTTTTCTCGCCATTATTTCTTGGACTGTACTGACGAAAGTACCGGATGGATCGAAATGTGTTTCAATTGGATATAATAGGATTATAAGTCAAACCCTAAATAAGAATCGTGAAAGGTTCCCTAACCCTTACCCTAACCCTAAGGATCGTAAAGGGTGCTTAACCCTAAACCCTAACCCTTATGATCGTAAAGGGTGCCATACCCTAACCCTAAACCCTAAGGATTGTAAAGGGTTGTTTGACTCTAAAGTTGCAAGTGAAGGGAGACGGAGCGATTACCGCGATATAGCGAGACAGTGCTTGAGACAGTGCGGTAACGTAATAGCGCGATAATTGCCCCAGAGCGAGCAACGAGGTCTGCACCCGGTAAAGTGCATTCTAGGCGGAAATAACATGTGGACACACCTGGCAGTTGGATAGTGACCTTGTTCTCAGAGAGGAATTGTTCTGATGTTACCTTGTCAGTACTTTTGACGCAATGATTTGGAATGACACTGCTCCATGTATTTAATGAAATAAACATTTATTGAGAGCAAGTTTACCCAAGTTTGGAACTGTAAGCCTACACATACGAACCTTTAAGAACACTAAGCATTCCTTCAAGGTTCAGTTAGTCATGGCAGGGCATTATTACTACATCAATATTTTCACATTGAATTATGACATTCCCATCAGCTATAGAAAACGACAAAATTTTAAGGTTTGTTATGTTCCCAAAACTTGAAATACACTCTCTCAGTCAGTTTCTGATGTGTTTTCTGCACATTAAGTATTCCCACACGTACTGCAAAATCTTCCTTGGACTTCGTTGTCCTCTAATATTTACTGGTTTTCATCACCAGATTTAAATAGTGCTGTGGTGATGAAAACTGGAAAATAATAAAGGAACGCTTGAATTTTCCTGTGATCCTTTGTTTGTTTCTCTCAGTATATATGTAAACATGCCTACCAACAGTAAATACTTTTCTATTTATATTATTTTTCTTGGTGGTACATTCCTGTTATCTGTGTTTCAGTCAGAGGTGGTTAGTGTAATATAAGGCCCTAGATAATCTAATCATAATTCAAGATTTCACAGTTTCTGTGTAGAATGTGTGTTATGTTGGGAAATGCATGGCTACAGTAAAGGGCAGTACACAAGTCACTGGTCTCAGGTACCATTACTACTGTTTAGCTACGCACTTCTAGACTTCTGCAAGCCTAATTGTGAGGATATCCAAAAGCATTTGCTGTTCCCCATAACACAACTGTTGTGTCCCTGTTGAACATCAATAATCTGTATCAGCCTTACATCCAGTTGTTGATGGATAATGGATGATTTTACCAAAGATTGTGCTGCTGATAGTAGTAAGGTGGTGTTGTTATGGTAACCATGTGCACGTTTCCAAACATTTCTGTTGGAGATTTCTATAGACTAAACAAATTGAGAAAATCTCTTATTGATTACATGCTCAAATTGGAGACGGAAAGAAGGACCCATGTGATATTTTTATACTGTGGGCAAGTCCTGCTTTGTCCATCTTCTTGTAGTCTGCCTGGTTGTTGTCCAGGTATAAACTTTTACAGAAGGAAACATCCTCCTGACACTACAAGGTATATGGAGAACTTTATATGCATGATAAAAACTAGGGTGTCTTTAAGGACCTACTTCTGCAATGGCATCATTATTTGTCCATACTGTAGGTGAGCTGCAGAGCCTTGTGTTATTGTGGGTTTGACAGACAACATGGAGCATGGTGTGACCAAGTATGAACTTAGCTGGACAGTTTGTTGTTGTTTACACCTGAAAGATGAGATATGTTTCCGGTGAAACTGCCTTCATCTGAGATTCTTGTCCACAAGCTCTAATCCCAGATTCTTGTTCACAAGCTCTAATCTCAGATGCTTGTTCACAAGCTCTAATCTCAGATTCTTGTCCACAAGCTCTAATCTCAGATTCTTGTTCACAAGCTCTAATCCTCAGATTCTTGTTTCAGCCTAGGCTCTTGTTCACAATCTCTTAAGCTCTAATCTCAGATTCTTGTTCACAAGCTCTAATCTCAGATTCTTTGCTTACAAGCTCTAATCTCAGATTCTGTTCACAAGCTCTAATCTCAGATGCTTGTCCACAAGCTTCTAATCTCAGACTTGTCCACAAGCTCTAATCTCAGATCACAAGAGGCTCTAATCTCCCAGATTCAGCTCTAACTTGATTCTTGTCCACAAGCTCTAATCCCAGATGCTTGTTCACAAGCTCTAATCTCAGATTCTTGTCCAAGCTCTAAAGCTCTAATCTCTGATTCATGTTCACAAGCTCTTAATCTCAGATTCTTGTCCACAAGCTCTAATCTCAGATTCTTGTTCACAAGCTCTAATCCCAGATTCTTGTCCACAAGCTCTAATCTCAGATTCTTGTCCACAAGCTCTAATCTCAGATTCTTGTCCACAAGCTCTAATCCCAGATTCTTGTTCACAAGCTTCCATCCCATAGTCACAAAGGCTCAGGTGCTAGTTACAAAAGATTTCTGTGTCATATCAAGTACATTACTCTTGTTATAATTATCTTCAAGACATATTGTATATTATGAGATGGATATTATTCATATTTATTTACATCTAAGTAGCATAAAATAATTATATTTACAAATTATGTTTCTGTTTGTGATGTAGCCATGATTGTGTTTTGTTGAAAACTCTTACCTTGTTGATATCTACCAAGTTCAGAGTATACTTTTGGTGTATAAGATCTTGTTAGCAGACATGATGTCTATTAACGTCTTCAGCCAAAGATGTTAATGTTAAATTGTCACCAAGGTAGTGAGGATCAGTAATAAGTAAAAACATATTTTAAAAAGCTAATAAGGCCAGACCAATTATGTTTCTTGTTTTACGGATTTTTGTCCTCAGAAAACCTAAAGGCAGGAGGGAAAAAAAAATATAAATAAAATCACCAGTCAAAGTAATATTTCTTCTAAATACTAAAGCTTATTTTGCTTTTTGGCAATTTATGAAGTGTATATGGGGCAAAAAACAATCTGAAACAAATTTCTTGTAAGTTACATTTTGGCCAATATGATCATTAGCATTTTATTTTATGAACGAGGGAAAATTAACATTTATTTTTTTTCTTATTCTTGAAGAAATATGACCAGCGGATCCGTGAAAACAAGAAATAAAATTAGTCTGGCCTAAGTAATCAATTTCTTCATCACAGTTGAAGCAGGTGTTCAGTGGAGGTTCAAGAATATAGAACACCGTCAGCAAATCATTGCTTGATGACATTTTGGGAAACAACTAACAAACATTTAGCATCAAATACTTGATAATGGCTTAAAAATCTACACCCAGAGATTCAAAATCAGTTGATTGATAGCATCCAGACATAGAACATCACTTGGTTCACAATGGTTTTAGAGTTTGCATCCAAATGTTTCATCTTCCTTGACAAGGGTGTCAGGCTCTTAACTGAAACATTTAAACCCACAATTCTAACAGAGAAGTTGATCACTGCACTATCTTATCATAAGTTGCATATACTATTTCTAAAACTATCATTCCTCATGATATATTTCTTTTTGTGATAAAGATATTTACTTATAAAATGTTAACTTAGGCTTGAGATTATTTGATCATTGCACTCAGATGCTTCTGTTTTCATTATCAATTATTTTCACATGTTCTTTTGATCATGTTCATTTGCATTTGATTTTATTCGCCATTTTGTTTTGTTTTATACTGTTGTCATCAGTTTTCTTTACACTGATAGGGGGCGATGGGGTAGCCTAATGGCTAAAAGCGTCGGCTCGTCATGCTGACGACCGGGGTTTGAATCCCCACATGGGCACAATGTGTGAAGCCTATTTATGTTGTCCCCTGCCGTGATATTGCTGGAATATTGCTAAAAGCTCACTCACTCACTCACTCACTCACTCACTCACTCACTCACTCACTTTACACTGATAGTGCTCTTCTCTGTGCTAGTCATAGTAAATGTTTAGTCATTCTTGTCTTAATGATATTTTGTTGAATATACTATTTTGTTACAGTATTCATCATTATAATACATGCTAGCAATTACCTTAAAACTAAAGCCAACACTTTATAGCTGTAAGACATACAGTAACTATCCTTAATAAAGAAAACATATATTTGTTTCACGTGCTTGATTTGAAACTATTGAGCATTTCTCTAAATCAAAATTTGTATTCATCCTGGGGATTCAGTTGGTGGAAATTACTAAAACAATCATTGAACTTTTCCCCAAATCAAAATTTGTGTTTTTCCTGAGCATTCAGTTCATGGAAATTACATCTAACTTTGGAAATATAATGTTAAAACAACCTTTCTGTGTTTACATAATCGTTGATATTTTATGCCCCTAAACTCTGCATTATGATTGTTTTGGCTAAAATTATTTTGGTAAACTATTCAAGTCCAAACAATTGAAGTGCCTCTCCATTTAATGCCAGAAAAATCTTTGGTAACTTGTGGACTTTCTAGGAATGTATTCCAAGACAGAAAAAGGCTTAGTTATTATTGTTTGAATAATATCAAATTAGTTTGTTTTGTATTTTATGAAGCCCATTTATGGTGTCCCCACCGTGCTATTGCTGGAATATTGCTTAAAGCGGCGTAAAACCCAACTCACTCACTCACTCATTTGTATTTTAAATAACCCCCAAAAGTTCTTGAATTTAAGTCAGAACAAGATTAATTAGCACTGAATAACAAATGTTTAACTGCTGATAAATATTTGTAGTTTATGCAATTCATTATCACTCAGTCTACTCAACCCGACTTCAGGTACCAGTCTGTTTGCACACAATAATATTATATTT